GCGCCTCCGCTCTTCACTCGTCGTCGCCCTCCGAACTTCTGCTTTCTCCCCTCCCCTGCCCCCTCTTGATCCCCCACCCCTCGAGGGGAACCTCGCGGGGGACCTCCTCCTCAAACCTCTGTGGGCCTTTCGAGACCTCCGGGGGCCTCGGAGACTTCCTCCTCCATTTCCTTGTCCTTATGAATAGTCCCTCCCTGTCGCATCCCAAGGCGAGTCCGTAGGCCAGGCCAGGCATTTCATTTGAGACTTCATCACCGCTCATGATCCTGCAGATTTAAGTGCGCAACAGTTTCAAGAATGAGGGCGGGCCACTGTCGAAATGGAGCTCTGTTTTCAGACGCCGCGCGCATTCGTTCTAAAATTTTGCAACAGCTTCAAACACGGCGGGCGGGCCGTTTTCAAAATGGTGCTCTCGCCTTCGCGCCGCGCGCATTCGTTGAATAAAACTGCAACAGCTTCAGGGATGGAGGCCGGCTCCTTTTCAAAGTGTGGTTCCGGCTGTAGCGCCGCCCACATTCGTTTGAACAGTTTGCAGCAGTTTCAAAGATTCGTAGGGCCGACGCCCCAGGAAGTGTGGTTCGGCTCGATTTAGCATGGCCAGGACGCCACAGCTGCGTGGATTTGCGGTGTTGAGTTCCCAGGAATGGTGTTCTGGCGCGATTCAGGATTACCAGGACGCAGCGGTTATATTGATTTGCGGCGCTGAAATCCCAGGAATAGTGTTTTGGTTCGGTTTGGGATTTCCAAAGAATTTCGGACATTGAGGGGTGGCCATGTCCTATCTGACTGGCCGTTTATTGTATGTTTTCATGTATGTTTTCAAATCCTGGCGAGGCACCTTCCACCTGTGAAGTCCGGGGAGAGATGAAATCCTTATCATTTTGAGTTCTCCGGTTGTTTTTCAATTGGCCACTTCCTGTAGTGGGATCAGATTTTTTGCAGGCACCTATGAAGAGGGAACGTGGAGGGACGGTTTACTGCAGCATCGTTGATGCGCCTTGGGTTTGCACTGGTCCTCCCCTTTCTCCTTGCCCTACTCCTCCTCCTTCTCCTCCTACTGCTCCTCCTTCGGTGGCTGCGATTCTCATCGCTTCCCGCTGCTCTCTTCCCAGTCAGTCACCGAACTCGACGCGCTCTCTCATCTGGTCTCTCTCCTGCTCCCCTCTCCCTCAAGACACTGGCTTCCGAAGCTGCCCCGCGTCGCGCCCCGATCGGCATCTCGAGGCGGGCCCGGCCGTGGCGACGAGGGCGCCCCAGCAGTCCGCAGCAGTCCCTGTCCCTGCCCTTGGCTTCTTCCGCCTCCTCCCGTTCCTCCTCCTCTTCCTCGACAGCGGCGGCGGCGGCGGCGGTGGAACACTTCTTTGCCGATTGGTGTTGGGTGTCGGCGAGCTTCAGGTCGGCCCCGATGCAAAACAGTTAGGTGTCCGGGAGTGGAGGGTTACTGGAGACTTATCGATGTTACATGAGGGCCCTCCCGCCAGGAGTCCGCTGGCTACCACTAGTGCCAGCCAGGGGGGCCACCAGGCCAAGGCCCACACGGCAGCCAGCCCTTCCGCCATGGTTCGTTGTGACTCTCCTGCCGAGAGGCCGCCGATCGCCATTCGAACCGCTCAGGGGGGGCACCAGGCCAGCACTCCAGCGGGCCCCCGTGATGTCGCCCAAGACGCAGTCCACTGCGGCCCTCCTTGGGAGTGTGCGCGGACTCTCAGGGGCAGCAGCCACGGGGGCCACCAGGCCTACGCTGCGGCCAGCCCCTCCGCCATGGTTCAGTGGGACCCCCTCCGTCGGGTGTCCGACGACCGCCGCTGGAGCCGCTCAGTGTGGCCGCCAGGCCAACGCTCCAGCCAGTCCCCGTGATGTCGCCCAAGGCGTCCGACGACCGCACGACGACCGCCAGACGACAAGCCAAACGACGCCGACCCGGCCGACGACCACACGTGGGCAGGTCTCTTGGCCGTCCGATCCCCAACGACAGAGCATTCCAGAGAGGACGTCCGACGAGCGGCAGCACCACGGTTCCCCAGAAGTGGACCACGTCCACATCTGCATGGTGACCCACCAGCTGGCCACCTGGGTGCCGCTGCAATCGTGGCCGCCACGGATCGCGCCGCGCCGCGGCGAGGGTCACGCTGAGGCGCTTGCAGCAGCCACCAGGCTCGCAGATGGCGTGCACCGAGTGCCGCATGCAGAGGAGGAGACCGACGATCCTCCTAGCCATATCATCCGTCAGTACATCACCGCTCGGCCGCCAGCGACAACGCCAGCACCATCACCCACTACGTCGGTACAATCAGGGCCCACCAGGGCCAGCGCATCGGCAGATGGGACCGATGCACTGGCCACCGACAGTGACCGCGTTCCTTCTCCTGTACTTCATTTATCCATCAAGGTCACCAACCAGGAGAATAACCCCACCAGCGGCCACCACGGCACCGTCGTCGGCCGAACGGGGAACACATCCAGTTCTGGGTGGTCCAGCTGCCCAATTGTCGCACTGCCCACCTGCGCACGTCCAGCTTTAGAGCTGCCCCCCCTAGCGGGGAGAAGCCCTTTCACGTCCCGCCGCCGACCCGGAGATCAGCGTCCGACAACCAACTACGCCTGACTGCCGCCCGTCCGACGACCGTCTGACGACAGTGTGCCGACACCCGCCGCCGACGGCCGCGGAACGATCGTCGACCGACCGACTCACACGCATGACGACAAGGCAGCCGTATGCGCCGTATACCGACGCCACCCACCTGGTTCCTAGCCTCCCAGCAGGGCCACCAGGCCTACACGACAGCCAGACTACAGTCTGTCACGCACGCCGTTCCCCTCACCCCTTGCCGCGAAGGGGGCTGGCGTGCTCCTCCTCCTCCTCTTCCTCCTGCTCCTGCTCCTTCGCCTGAGACTTCCTCACCGCTTATGGCCCTGCGGCTTAAGACACGACAGCAGTTGCACACATGAAGGGCGGGCCGTTCTCAGAACGTGGCTCTCGCCTTAGCGCCGCGCGCATTCGTTACAAAAGAAATTGCAAGAGTGTCGCGGATCGAGGGCGGCTGGTTGTTAACATAAGGCTCTCGCCTCAGCGCCGCGCACATTTTTATATAAAAACAGGAGTTGCAAGAGCTGCACGGATTGAGGGCGGCTCCTTGTCAAAATGGTGCTCTCGCCTCAGCGCCGCGCACATTCGTCTTTAAGCTCTGCAAGAGTTTCAGGGGTGGCCATGATCAGCGTATCAGAAACGGTGTCTGGGAAGTATTCAGGGTTATGAGGGTGCAGCAGTTACATCGATTCGCGGTGTTGGAGTCCCATGGCTGGCGTTCTGGCGCGATTCAGGATCGCCCAGACGCAACAAACATTCAAGTTGATCCGTGGAGTTGGAATCCCGAGAACAATGTTTTGGCATGTTTCAGGGTCTTCGAACGGTTGTCTTCCAACGAGGCAGTTCCCTGATTGGCAATGACCCGTTGTATGGGGCCTATGAAGAGGGAGCTTGGAGGGATGGTTTATTCCAACATCGTTGATAACTACTGGGTTTACATTGGTCCTCATCCTCTTCCTCCTCCTCCTTCTACTGTGCGCCCCACTGCACCCTGCTTCGTGGGCTCGTCCGGCTGGCTACCGATACCTGCGAGCTGGCCACTCTCCTCCACGTGCTGCTCCACCTCGAAGCGCGCAGCCGCACTGGCACTAGACCCGTAACCCGCCGCTGGCCTTGCCCCCGCCCCCCCAATGCCCCTCCGAGTGGCCCACCAGGCGCAGCCGCGTGGCGCAAGCCGGGCCACGGGCTTCCGTCTGGGACGCGGGGGAGGCGGAGGAGGAGGAGGAGGAGGAGGAGGGGGAGGAGGAGGAGGAGGTGGAGGGGGAGGAGGAGGAAGAGGAGGAGGAGGAGGAGGAGGAGGAGGAGGAGGAGGAGGAGGAGGAGGATCAGGAGGAGGACCAATGAGCAATGAGCAATGCGCGGGGAGTCCAAGTGGGTTGCTCAAAACCACACGCCACAATCTTGGCCAAGAACTCAGCGCGACCCAACTTTGTTGAGAGCAGGTCACCTTGAATGGGCGTGGGGGAGCCCCCTCTGGCAGAGCCAGGGCTGCCCCCGAGCGACGGCGAACCCAGGCGGCACGCAGGCGCACGAAGAGGGCCGTCAATGGGGGACCGACGCCAAGCTGGTCTACCGTGGTTGGGTTTATTAACTACCCGTCTCCCTTCCGCGGAGCCCGTTTAGCCACAACTAAGGGGATCGGGGGAAGATCTGGATTTGGGTATGTACCAAAACTAGTGGCACTTAATGGGTCGGGGATTGTTCCTCGGGCCACCGAAGATGCTCGCCGAATACAACCTGCAAGCGCTCCCCTACTCACGTGTGCTTTTCACGAATGCCGTCCCTCGAACGGCTTCTGTCTTTCTCCGCGCTCCTGGCCTGGTTCAATCCTTCTCCCCGCCCTTTTCGATCAGCGAGAGGAGCCTCGCTGCCCCGCGCTCGAGAGGCCCGCGCGGGGCTGGCCCCACAAACGGCCCCGCCTTGTACACCTGCTCGATGTTCAGGAACTGAAGCAGCAACATCCTCGCCTCCCTCCCTGGCTCGTCGTACGAGAAGGCATGCGTCAGTCTGCCAGTCTTCGCGTCCGAACTGCTCTGCGCCTCGCCCTTCCTCGCCTTGTGCTTGCGGTAGCGAAAGTGAAGCACGTGCTTGGTCACCTCCTGCGGGGTCTTTCTCGCGATGTTCTTCTGGAAATGAGCCGTGAACACCTCGGAACCCTCGAGGACGCTGTCCATGCCGCCGACGAGGTGCACGCTCACGACGGCTCACACCTTCACGTGTGGTGGTCCTCGAGTCCTGAAACCGATCACGTCTCTGTTCATCTGTCGCTCCATGAGGCTTTTTGTGCCTTCGTCGTACTTTGCGCCTGAGTCGATCATGATCTGGGGCAGGGACGACGGCTTCTTTAATCGTCTCCCACGTCTGGAGCACCGTTCCCGCGAGTGCCGCCAGCTCGCGCGCGTCGTTAGGCGCA